ATGGAAAAAAAAAAAAAAACCCCACCAGAGTTAAGCTGTAAGTGTTTATGTGACTCCTCTGTGTTGGTTTTTGGAGACTTGTAGAAGTTTCGAAATGTGAGGGCACCTCCTAGTTCAGCAGTCTGGGGTTTCCAAATGTCAGCCTGGAGCCCACTGGGGCCTCCGTAAAGGTGTCCCCTGACCCTTGGTGAAGTGAAATAATCAGGGCAAAATACTCATGAAACCAGAGTCAACCAATTTAAGACTGCCCTTAACTACGAGATCACATGCCTGTTTCCTTCTATTAAAAAGTCCCTCCTTTTGCAAAATCATAGTGATGAAAAGTAGTATTTAGAAGGTTTTATTTGGGCCAAGAGAAGGAAAAAGGCTGATGAATCTATGCTGTTCCCGGACACTGGTCTGTGAAACCTGAAGGACAGACCCACTGATCTCATCAAACCTTATTTTTGAATTTTACAAGTGTTATCACTACTGTTCCTTAAAACAAGAGATTTCCTGCCTCACCTGTCAAATAAAGCCCGGACTGCACCTGAGTGGAGGTCTATCAGGCGACCAGTGCTGCAGAGATGATGCCTTCTTTAGAAGGCGGGAGGTCTGCGCTGGTAACCGGAGGACCCTGGGCACATCCCCACCCCACCCCGGGCCCCGACTGGTGCGCTAGCAGGACCTTGGGTCGGAGTGTCATGCCACGCCTGGGATGGGTCCCAGGAACCTCAGCGTCCCCTTTCGTGTCACCTAGGGTAATCTGGGACTTTTGCAGCGGGTATGTGGGGACACCTGTGCCAGGGTGTGGTCCACACCTTTGCTCCATGCTGAAGACAAACCAGCCAGTCTAAGGCAAAGTGGTAAGTGGGCAGGGGTTTGGGGATTCAGACTCTGTTTGGTGTTCTTCCTATAGGAAATCTGTCCCCTGGTGGGACTAGTGGCTGAAGCACTGGGCTCCTGGGATAACACATCAGGGTCTAGACAGGGCTGCCGTGGACAGCTGTATAGTCTGTGCACTGCAAAAACTGGGCCAAGCGGGCAAGAGGGAGCTGGAACTCCGCACCAAGCCAGGCCCTCAGGGTGGGTCTGCCCACAGTGGGAGGTGACACCTTCTTCTCATTTCCACAGAGATTCTCTATGGCCTGGCAGTCACCCTGAGTCTGGGGAAGAAGGAGAAAAGGAACAGAGTAGAAGAGACACGATTCTAGACAGCATCAGCTTCTTTTACTTCTCATACATTCACCCTGGTATGTCTGCCTAGAGATGGTGGGAGCTGGGAGCTTGTGGTGCAGGTCTCCTGGGCCCACTAGCTCTGATCCCTGTGCCTGGCCTGGGGGACCCAGGGAAAGCGTGGTGTCTCTGATCAGTCCAGCCCTGTCTATTTGACTTCCCCCCACGCCTTTCAACCAGCCGCTGGCTCTCAACCCAAAAGGCAGCTTTCTGCACAACCAGGGGCTGTCCTCCGGCCCTGAGGCCAGACCAGCCAGGAGGGCACGTCTCCCGAGGAGAATGGATGTCAGCCGGGGCTCCTCCCCGCTCACAAGCCTGACACCAAATGCCCCGTCAGTACTGCGGACAGGTGGGGTCCCCTGCCCCTCACAGCCACCCAGTGAGAACGTCTGATGTGGCATCGCTGCAACGGCCCCATCCCACATTCCACGGGGGCCAGCCTGGCGCTATCGCTGCTCTCAATGGCACTGTGCCCTTGGGGACCCGAGAGGACACCTGTTTCTACCGCAAGAGACTGCATCGTCTCCAAGTTCCAACACGTATCTCACAAATGCGGGGGTCCCAAACTGGGGACATTTCACGATTCGAAAGAAGCATTGGACCCCATTCCACCAAGAATATGAAGCTTTTAGAAATCTACCTCTAGGTCAGGTATCGCCACTTACTTCTTTCGCTCAGCTGCCCCTTGGATTTTTCTTGTAAGTAATAATGGCAGCGAGACTGGAAGACGTGGAGTTTCCGCATCTCCTTAAACTTGAGCAGGAAGCTCTGCTCCTCCTTCTGGGTGTGGGCGGCCAGCACTTCCTTGGTGAGGCCCAGCGTCCGGAGGGGGTCCTTCTCCGCGCCCAGGCCGCAGGGCCGGCCATCCAGGGACTCGGGCCCGCTCGCAGCATCTTCCACCAGCTCTGTAACACGAGACGGCACCTCTGGTGTGCAAGGGCCCCGGGGGCTAAAACAATGGATAACCCACCCCGCATCTCTGAAGAAGAGAAATCCTTCGTGAAGCTGAGATCCATGGTGAGCTCACTTAGCGCCCTGAGAAGGCTAACAACGAAAGACACAAGTCCATGACGGAAGTCTCGTTGCCTGGGGTGGCTCCAGGAGCAGACTTCTAAGCAAAGTGAAACGTGGGGGATCTCGGGGCTCAGCTCAACGTCGGAGACGCTCCTAGTCCCTAGCATTTAGAGCACCACAGACAGAGCTAGCGCATGACCCCTATCCTGGTTCAGGCGTGACAGCCGTGACGGGACAGGGGCAGGTGGAACCCGCTGACCGTCTGGAAAGAGGGGTTTGGACACCGACTCTCTTACCTGCACTGTTTCCTGTCTCTCTCTTCCCAGAAAAGAACAATTTTGGGTTTCATTTCACTCATGGGTGTTCTGAAGAAGAAGCTAACTCAGTGCTGTACGACTTGTGCTGGCTCCTGTCCTCAAACAGGGGAGGGGGTGGGAACCCGAGGATCCCTACTCAGTCCCCCTGCCTCCCCCCTGACCCCCACAGGCCCAGGCTGAGAACCACCTCAGCGTCTTCCCTGTTCATGCCTGAACAGACACCTGCCACCAGGTGGTGCCAGAGAGCAACGGGGACTCGGACAAGTGCGGTGCGCGCCCCCCCCCCCTTAACCCCCCACCTGTTTTTCATGCTCCAGGATTTCCTGGATCTCCCTTCCTGGGCAGTGCTAGGGTTCTTTTGCACTTGGACAAACTTAAAGAAAATTTTAGGAGGGCAGCCAAAAATTCAAATTTTTAGGGGCGCCTGTGTGGCTCAGCCAAATGTCTGGCTCTTGATTTCGGCTCGGGTCATGATCCCAGGGTCTTAAGATTGAGCCCGTGGTCAGGTTCCATCCTCGCTGAGCATGAAGCCTGCTTAGGATTCTGTCTCTCTCTCTCTCTCTCTGTCCCTCCCCTGCTCACACTCACTCTCTCTCAGAATAAACGTTAAAAAAAATAATTAAAAAATTTTTAATGAAAAAAACCCAATTTTTACCATTAAAGTCAGAGAACCCTCGGCATCGTCCGAGAACCAAGAAGCATACCTAGCTCCGGCTGTGGCTTCTTGTCGCCCACGTGGACGATGGTGCTGCTGTAGCTGCACTGGCTGCTGAGGGACGCCACGCTCTCCGCCTTGCCGGGCAGCGTCAGCGAGGTTAAGTGCGCGCTGACCTCCGCGTGGCTATTCACCTTGGAGGGTGAGGCCGTCTCTTTGTGAGGCAGAAAGGACACAGACACAAACGTGCAATAAAAGCAAACCGTTCAGATAAGAACCACCACTGTCTGTGTGACGCACCCACACCCATGGGCCCACCTGGTCCGCACACACCCGGCAGGTGACGGTCTGTTGGCAGGTATTTATTCCCGGGGCGAGAAGAGGAAATTCTGAAGTGGGCAGAATCACACCTCTCCCGTCCCGAGTCCTCTAAAAAGGGGCGGGCGACCGGGCAACCGCAGGTCCTCTGGGTCAGGGGCCTCTGCCCGGACCCCCTCCGCGGGCCCGAGAGAGAGGCTGCACAGGCAGCCAGGGGCCCGCCCTCTGCTGAGCGCTCTGCCCGCAGCCCGGGCACAGACAGTCCCTCACGGTGTGACGGCCCAGCTCGTGCTCCGTCAGCAACGGGACACCCGGTTTCTGGCTCTCGGAATGACCACCGGCAACACTCACAGGGTCTGAGGGGCCTGGGACTTAACCTGTCTTGTAGGGCTGCAGCAACGTTCAGAGGCCGGTGCTCTGCTGAGACACCATGTTGCCCAAGAACGACCGTGTGACGTGCCCCCGGTCCTCCAGCTCCAGCAGCCCCGACAGGACCCTCGTCTCGAAGTCCCCGATCACCTTTACGTCTAGCTTGTGAGACGGCTGCTAACTTTGGAGCTACTTTGGTTATTGAAGAAACAGCCTCCACCCACAGACTGTGTCCTTGAAGCCCTCAGACTTGCCCTGGGAGGGAGGGGGGCTCCAGGCCTTCCGGGACACCTGATCCCACAGCAGGCATCCAAGTTACCACACCCCCCGCAGCTCGAACGGTCAAGACACCTGTGCCATGCGGCCCAAGACCGGCCACCGCCTTCCGCTTATCGCCGGCCTTCTGCGTCGCCACGTTCGCGGGGAACTCACACTTCCTCTTGAGGGTAGCAGCCTCACTGCAGCTCTCCAGGTACCTGCACGGGGGGCCGGGAAGGGCTTCGTGTGACACGGGAGCCCCCAGAGTGCACGAACGACAGAGGCGGGGGCCGAAAGTGGCAGCACCTGATGACGCCGTCCAGGCAGCTCATCTGCTGGTAGGAGCCAGCGGGCGGGCTCTTGCCACCCAGCTCCTCAGGAAAGCCGCCCGGGGGCAGGCTGGTGCCCGAGCTGTCCTTTTCCACGGGGACAGCTTTCATCTGAGCACAGGAACTACTCTGTGTCTCTGAAAGAAGGATCGGATAGCTCAGTTAATACCTGCTTCCCCCAAACAGTACTCTGTATGTTTACAAAGCCTCTTAATTCTACCTACAAATGAGGCTCGGGGCTCAGAATATGATTCACAGACACAGAAATCCAGGGACAGCCAGATATTCAGGCAGCTCTGTGGGGGCAAGTGTCACTGTGCCACCCACAGAGGGAACCTAGAGGGAGCTGTCACCAGGGCCAAGGCCGGCTTCTCTCTGGGGCTTGGTGGCCCTCGGCCCGGGCTATCCCCAGGGTCAGGGACTCAGCAGTGGGGAAGGCCAGTTCTTACTTAAACTCCTGAAGCTTCTAGGGCCAATTAGATTGCAGACGCTTTTTAGTTGCTCAATATTATTCCCGGTCTCTGGGAGGGTCAGTCCTTCCAAATATGACCCAGTGGTGATAACAGTCGTAATGGTCTCCAGTGTGGCTTGCTGTGGACGTTTCTTGCCCTCACCACGCGCACCAAATGCATTCCCCTAAGGGCCCTCACGGGCAGAGCCACGCCCCGCCCTCTGTTGTGTCCCCAACACCCAGCACAGACCGCAGCATGCAGTCTGTCCGCTGGGGGCAAAGTGCACACCCACACGTCCCGAAGGCCAAAAATCCTGGCGAAGACCAGGTGTGGGCAGCCCAGGGAGGCTTCCTGGAGGAGGCGAGCCCTGAGTGCAAGGGAAGAGCAAGAGCCCACGACGGGGAGAGGACTGCGGTGCATGTGTGTGCGTGTGCGCGTACGTGCAGAGGAACAGCACGAGCCAGGCACGAGGGCGCGGGGACACAACCTGGTGAGGTGGGCTCAGGCGGCGAGGGGGTGCGCGGGCAGCTCCCTGGGCCCTGGCTCCCCGTGAGAGGGAGGCCTTTGAGCAGAGCTGGCGCTGTCCACTCCAGACACCGCGTTCACGGGTGTGAGCGCTGTGGGCTGGCTGGGCAGCCCGAGGGGGGCGAGGGCACCTGCTCACGTCGTTGGAAGCGTCGACCCCACGGCCAGTATGCAGAGCTAGAACGGGGCGACGGGGCAGAAACGCACGCCTTGGCCACATCTCAACAGGCCTGTGGGGAGCCAGGTGACCACACAACAGCCGGGGTCGGCGAGACTGAATGAGTGAAGGCCCACGCTGGCGGCACGTCACTGAGCGGGGCTGCCCAATGGGGAGGGGAGGCAGCACGCTGGAAGGGTAAATCCCTGCCGCCTGGAGTTAACATGAAGCCAGGTTCCTCTTTCCGCCTCCCGCACTTAAAGTTTTGCCAGGAGAGGCACCTGGGTGGCTCAGTTTAAGCGTGTGAATTCAGCTCAGGTCATGATCTCACAGCTCGTGGGTTCGAGCCCCGCGTCGGGCTCTGTGCTGACAGCTCGGAGCCCGGAGCCCGCTTCGGATTCTGTGTCTGCCTCTCTCTCTGCACCCCTGCCCTCTGCTCACGCTCTGTCTCTCTCCCTCTCTCAAAAATAAAATAAACATTAAAACAAAAAACGTTTTACCGAGGAAACAGAGAATAATGCTGTACCTGTAGCAGGCTTTTCCTTGTGTTCTCCAGAGTCACCAGGATAAGGACTTTTGCTTTTGACCCTGCCGTTAGCATTTTTACAAATTTCCTTGAGGAAAAACACAAGAACGCGTCACTCCCTCGAGGGGACCCTCTGGCATTGCAGCCTGTCCCCCACGGTGAGGTCAGAGAAGAGCTGACAACTCCCGGCAACGCAGAAGTAGGTTCTGAACGAGAAATCAGAGCGTGGCCGAGCTAGAGCAAACGAGCTTGATGGTCCCAAGAACACAAATCAAGGAACCCGGCAGGTTACGGTTTTGTTGCGTCTTCACTTCTGCTTAATTCGCCTGCTTTAAGGGATTTTCACCCAGACTTCAGCCACAGCTCTTGGACACTTCCCCCCTTAGAGACTAGAGAGTGAGTCCCGAGAGAGCAGGTTCAGAGGGCAGGTGGCTGGGGCTGTGCGGGCTCCAGGGCTGCCGCGGGTCAGTCTACCCGGAGAGGGAGGGACACGGTGGACGGGGACTTACGGTCCGCCTCCGGCGGGAGTGCTTGTGGCCGTTGCTGTCGCTGGAGGACGTCTGGCTCATGAGGGGCTCGTGGGACCCGTTGCTACCCAGGCTCCCGTAGCCGCTGGAGCCGCTGTGGGGGACGGGCTGGGGAGACAGCAGACAGGAAGGGCTTAGATGTGGCTGGGGGGCGTGGCTGGCACTGCGGGTTTGGTGCCCCCCAACACGGCCGTCTCGCAGAGGCTGTGACCTGCCCTGGGGAGCAGGGCAAGGACAAGGTGGGGGCTGGGCTGCAACCCCGGGTCAGGCTGCGGGACGCATCCCCCGGTCCCAGTCGCACACACTCCCTGAAAGAGGGGCCATTCGACCCTGTCCCTCAGCTCCCTCATGGGCCAGTCTTGTCTCTACCCAGGGGTTTTAGGAACAAGAAGGGGCGTGCTGTGGTGTCGCTGTGGTCTGAGGAGACGGACAGGCAGAAGCTGCCTGGCTGGGGGGACCGGTGGCCACGCTAAGTTTTCTCGAGTGCTGCGTCTGTCCCCAGAACACGGAGAAGGCATTCTCTGGTCCCCCGGGGCCCAGCAGGTGACCCGCTCTCACCCGGTGCACCTACTCGCACCAGGGCCTGCGGGTGGACTTGGGGGCTGGGTGCCATCCTTCAGTGGCTCGCCCCGGGCTGCCGTTCAGGCACAGATACCCCAACATGTACGGCTGGGGCTGCCCCCAACGCTGCAAACTGCAGGTGTGCCCAACTGTCCGGGGCCCAGACCAGGGGTACCGGGACGCAGGGAGGAGCCGGATGCGGGGAGACGAGCCTGAGAGGGAGGGAGGGGCACCCCGGGTCTCCGAGCAGCCCTGGGCCACTTCCACAGGGGGACAGGAGGGCGCTCAGGCAACGCACCCACCTGTAGCAGCAGCCGGTGTATCTGCTCCGTGAGCTCCTGATCGCTGGGGTGGAGGCCCTTCTCCTCCACACACGACGGAGCCGAGAACACGTCTTCGTTCAAAGGGCCCCTGTGCCGCGCGAATCTGTCTGTTAGTTGGGCCCCATGCCGCACAGCCCTGCCAAGCTTGCCTCCCCCCTGCAGACCCATGGGCTGCCACCTGCCCACTCACGACCTCCTCCTTTCCACTCGCTGCCCTGCCTGCATGAGGTGTCCCCCTACCCACCCACCCCCGCCCCCCCGGGGAGCACAGGCGTGTGGCGGGAGGTGACTTGGGTCCTGGTCACCCAGTCCCGCCCCACGCGGTGTGCTGGTGGGGGAGCCAGGGTCCCCGGGCCGCAGCGTGCACTGAGAGCACTCACACCCTGACTCTGTGTCTCCCGATGATGAAAGAGATTTTTCTGCTCCACGGGTTGATGAAGCTGGACCAGCTGGTGTCCAGGGTGACGTATTCGCCGTTCCGGGCACGGAACCGGATGGGAGAAGAGTCGAAGGGCTGTCCGCCGGACTGCACGACTGGGGGAGGGGAAGGGTGCGGGCGTGAGGACGAGAGGCTGGCGCTCTCGGGAAGAGGGGAGGGAGAGGCGCTACGTTCTGGAATCACCTCGGAACTCGAGAGACGCCAACCTCCCCAACGCTACCGCTGTCGGCGCCCTGCTCCGCTTTAAACTGTAACGACTGACCGTTGCCAAAAGCGCCACCACGCATTTCGGCACACGCGTCTCTAGCCTTGACCGGCCCCCAGGTGGACGCTGAGCGTCTGCGAGGCCTGGGCTCAGTGGGGACCCATGTCATCCACTCCCCTGGCCTGGTCAGCACCTGTGTCGCCACAGCTGAACCCGCACCCCTCCCCCCACCTGCCAGGGAAGCCAACCGTAAAGGCAGGATGGCCACGGTTCACGCTGTGGGCCACAGAGGCCCCGCGAGAGATGAGTGCTCCTGACCCACGGGACTAGGGCTCAGGCACGGCCGGGGCATCCGTCACACACGCTGGCGGCCGGCCTGACCCATCTAGGCTGGGTGCTGATGGCAGGATTTACTGTGAAAAGGGGACCTACTCTTTTTGTGGATGGTAAGCATCAAAGGCCGGTCGCTGGGGTGAAGTCGCACAAGTAAGGGGGTCTCAATCAGGTCCTGAGGTAGGTAGCCCAGGAGGGGGACCGCCCTGCAAAGCAAGCACACACACGGGGGTCCCTGTGCAGCCCCCCTTCCCCAGCCCCAGCCTCATGGCTGCGCTTCGGGACGCGGTCTGGAACACAGCCTCGAAGGGGGGGCCCTAAGGACCATCCTCCTCCTGGGAGGCAGGGAAGGGACAGACTCCAAATTCCCCAGAGAGCAAAGCTGGGGAACTGGGCTCACAGAGAACAGTCTTTCAGTTAACTGGCAAACAAAAGATGACAACATCCCCACAGGTCTGTGATGGGGAGCTAGGCCCTAGGAGGCCCAACGCATACAGGCCAAGTGCCCCAGCACCGGGCAGCATCTTCGCTCCTGAAAGAGTAAATCACGATAACGTTCTTGTTTTTGTCTTTTAAGGTCTTTTCTTTCTTCGTGTCATTTGTAAGTTTGGCCGGATGGGGCTGGGCATGGCTTCTTTTAAACAAGTTTTGCCTGGACGCTGGAAAACCCTGTTTGGCTCTTTTCCAGCTCAGGATGCTGTGCTTCGGTTACTTCGGCCGCCGTGTCTGGTCCTGAGAAGGTGCCACACAGGCGGGGGGCCTTCGCTCTGTGCCACCGGGCTTCCTCCTGCAGCTTTTAGGACGAGGTTTTGGGGTGACCGTCTCGGTGCCCGTTCTGCCCCCACGGCCAGCATTCTCTGCCCACACAGCCACTGTTCCCTCTTCTGAGCCGCAGTTCAGCCTCCCCACCCTGGAGACCAGCCTTCTCGCATCGAACTGATGTTTCCCCAACCTCTTCCGAGCGGATGCCCTCACGTGGAAGGGCCTTCTCCAAGCCATTAGAGCCACGTCTGCCTGTTCCCCTCGAATGGAGCTTTCTCGTGGGCCCCGTGTTAGGATTCGATCTTCTCCTCCTGGTCTGACACACACTCTCCAGGCTTCATGTTTTCATTTGATAGGATGTACAGAATGTTCCTGGTGCCCTTCCAGGTCAAGGTTTGGCCAGGGGAGAGGAGGAGGAGGAGGAAGGGGAAGAGGAGGAGGAAGAAGAGGGAGAGAGGGAGAAGAAAGAAGGGGAGGAGGAGAAGGGGGAGGAAGGAGGGAGAGGGTGGGGAGGAGCCCGTGCCACCGCCCAGGTGTCCTGTGCTCCGCGGGCTGGGCCGCCCACAGGGCTCTGCTGAGAAAGGCCCTGTGCACCTGCTCACAACACCTGCACACGAGTGACACCTGTGCTGGTTTGCAGGCAGGTGTTCTCAGACTCCTGGAAGAATAAAAATTATCCTGGGGCTGCTTTGTGAACGCAGCGCCCACGGCCCCCACGCCGAGACCCTGTTGGATGGGGCTGGGTGGGGCCCAGGAACCTGCGCCTTGAAACCTTGTGTCTCTGGTGATTCTGCCACAGGGGGCGAGCAGAGCAGCCCTGAGCTGCCCAGAGCTGAAGGCTGATGGTTCCCTGGCTGCCCGAGAGCAACTCTTTCCCAGGAGGCTCTGCATCCAGGGCGGGTACCTGGTGTCTCCAGGTCAGGCGCAGGCAGTGGGGTGGGCTTGATCCTCGACAGCATCTGTGGAGGTTGCCTGGGCCGACTGAGAAAGCCCGGAGTGCTTCTGGTGCTTCTAGGTCCACTTCCTGTGGGTCTTCTGAGGGGGGCTCTTCCCCATCACTGCCGGCAGCCAGCAGGATCTTCTGTCTTTGTGCAGGAGGGGCCGGGGGGAGGTGCTCCATGGGCTTCGGCCCCAAGTCAGCCAACCCAGAACCCTCTGAGAAGGGCAGGGCTCCCGACTCCCACAAGCACCATTTGTTCCGGCCACAGCACCTTGAGTGGGACACGGAGTGAAGCTCTGGGCAGGAACGGAGGTGACCCTCCCCCACCCTCCCCACCCCCCCCCGCGGGGAGCAGGCTGTGACACACACGCTGGTGGACACATTTCTGCTGGGATCCTGCCAATGGCGTCTCCAATCCTAACCCGAGCACGCCGTCCCTGGCCATGCCGTGCTTTAGTCGTGTGCGATTTTGAAAAGAGTTTAAATAGGATAATAAAGATAGACTCCATTAGAACGATGATCAGCTCCCCAGAATGCTCCATTTACACAACGTTCCTATCTCGGGAGGTTGTTAGTGCAATTCCACAATCGTTTCATTGCCTGCAGTTCAACATCTTTGCGGATTACCTTCTCAAACCAACATGCAGCCTTAACTTTAGCTGCATAGCGTTCATGCCAAAAACATAAACATTGACTGGGCTGTGTTGAGCTGCTATTAAGTAACCACCAAGATAATGACGAAACGCTAAACATCACGTGATCGAGTCTGCCGCCACGAAGGGCGCGATAGTGATTCCAAGACACACAAAGGGCACAGCGCCAGGCTGCTTACCTTTCGTCCACATCCTGGAACAAGCAATTTGGTGTATGCGTGGTCGTAAAAATTCTCTTTTCAGGAGGAATTCGAGGGGCTGAAAGAAGAGAATTTTACACAAGTTTCTGATTCTAATACACACTTAGTGCAGTTATATTATAGCTACCGGAAAACGCCGTGTAGATTCACAGGATGTGTGGCGGAGGAAGGAATTAGGAAGGGGACTCTGAACCACAGCCTGTCACATAGGGAGCAGAGCAGACCCTATGCTAGATGACCGCCAGCCAGCCTCAACTCCTCTGTGGGCCAGGTTCAGTCTAGAAGGCCAAGGACCGCCACACTAACAGAAGCACGTGCTGTCGCGTAGGCTTCTCTCGGCAAAATCGTGCCGGAAGGCCATATCCGTGATCTTTCAGATCCAACGAGGGTGAGCTCAACAAATTGTTTAAAAAAATAAATGAGTTAAGTGCTTAGATTCACCATTCTCAGCAAATGTCACTGTAACGGGGACTTTACAGTTTCTAGGGCGGGCAAAGAAGATAGAGTAACTTGCACAAAGGAAATCGCATATCCGGAATCTCCCTCAGCTACCAAATTCGTGGACAAAACATTCAAAACTCCAAAGCTTTCCATTCGTGAAGCAGAATCCTGTTGGGATGAACAACTCGGTGAAACCCAGGGAACCCCTCTCAGTCTTTCTCGAATATTTGGAAGAGAATATTCCATATGGAGGAGCCCCTCAAACATCTGAGAAAGGGCCACATACCTAAAACATCTCTATCGGTTTTAAGAAATAAATGCCTTTTTAAAAACTGGCATCATTAACCACTGAGACAAGATTATAAACACAATGGAACGTGGACCGAACTGGATCCCTGTGGTTCAGGAGTTGCACACGGCACCTGCTTTCTGGGAATTCTGGTCACGTGGCTTGCGGAGCTGCTGGGGCGAGGACCTTGGGCTCCCGGCCCGGTCCTGCAGCCGGTCACACGAGGACTGTGTCATACCACAGTTCAGGAGGTGGAGTCACCAGGAGGACAGAATCGGGGTGGCCAAGTGCCTGGGGGCCTTTGGGCTTCAAGGGAAAACCCAGATTTGGGGTTTTTGGGGGAGAAGGTGGTCTGAGAAGCCAGCAGGACCAGGAACGGGCACCTGGTGGGATAAGCCTGCTGTACTGTGGCTTTTCTACAGGCAGAGGGAGGGAGGAAAGAACCAGAGTGAACAGTGGGAGCCAGGCCGCCAGGCTGCACGTCGGGAAGGCAGGGAAGGGAGTAGAAGGTAGGATGAGCCACAGCCTTATTTCTCGAGTGGGCGGATGGTGAGGGGTCCTGAGAAGGCAGTGCTGTCCCTGTGCTTCCGAGGTGGGAGGTGCATGAGGATGGGAGGGACCTGGGGACCCGGCAGGGCCATCCTCACTGTATGGATGGAAGGCAGTGGCTGGGGAAGGGGCAGGGCACTCTGGACACAGCAACAGCCTGGTCATGGGTGCGAGATGCCGGCACCCAGACCCTCTGATGGACACGGGGAGGCGGTATGGCAGGGGCCACCGGGGGGCCCAGGGGACAAAGGTGGGCGTGCAACCAGAGGGAGACGGACACTGTGCAAGGTGGGGGGAGAGGCCAGAGCTGGCGGTCAGCCTTACTGACGTTAGGGGTGAGCCACGGGACTAACTGAGGCACCATACGGAGCCTGTGCCCCCGCCTGGGCCGGGCTCTTACCTTCGTAGCCCGAGTGCACTCTCTCCGCCAGCAGCACGCAGCACAGCTGGCCATCGGCGCCCTGCGGGTCCCGCACCTTGACCAGGTAAGGCGTCATGCGAAACGGGTGGTAATGGATCTCGTTCTCGTGGCTCTTCCCGACACTGTGGAGGACGGCAGGGTCAGCGATGTGGCACGAGGACAGAAGGGATCCCGTCCTGCTCACTGCCAGCCACCTCTCCCCACAGCGGCTGCACCGAGAGCATCCCTGCATTGGCTGTCCCGAAGCCCGGGAGGCGGAGGCAGGCTCCCCTCTTGGGGACCCGGGCCAAGCTGGAGGTGCCGCCCGGGGTCTGGGTCTGGGCCTCTGCCCCGCTCCCTCGGATGTCAACGACATTAAAGGGCACAGCGAATAGTGAACAGCCCTGGGCGGTGGGAGCTCCTCCAGGAGCTGTTCTCTACAGGGGGTCACATTTTCCCTGGGGGAGAAGACGTTGCTTCACTACTGAGGCCCCAGCCCCAACTGCCCAGGGTACCAGAACCCGGCCAGGGGGTCACTCCTGACACTGCGGCTGGACGCTCAACCAGTCACCTTGTTTCGGGCCAAAAGCCTGTTGGGGAAGCTCTGGGGGCTCTTTCTGGAAAAAACACACACTTGAGGTACAGGCTGCATGTGCTTTTGGGGTCCTCTTGGGCCCTGGGGTACGTGCCTTCCTGTTAAGGGCCCTGGGCCGCTTTCCCAGGTGACGGACACCAAGTCCAGGCTCCTCGGGCTGATGTTCTCCATGAGGAAGGGTCCAATCACCCAGTGATGACCATGCTGCCTTAACTCCCCATGCACATTGTTTTTATTTAAAAAATTATTTTAATATTATTATCGACAGAGAGAGACAGAGAGCAAGCAGGAGACGGGCAGAGAGAGAGGGAGACACAGACTCTGAAGCAGGCTCCAGGCTCCGAGCTGTCAGCACAGAGCCCGACGCGGGGCTCAAACCACGAACCACGAGATCTTGACCTGAGCCGAAGTCAGACGCTCAACGGACTGAGCCCCCCAGGCGCCCCCTCCCTGTGCACATGTGAAATGCAGTTTTCACACAGACTTTTCAGGAATATGTGCACTGCATGGCAGGGTGCCCGCATAAGCCTCTACCCTGAAGAGGTGCCGAGGGGCGAGGGGTGGGGTCACGGCACAGCGGGAGCCGGTGGGGGCCACTCCCACACCTCCTCAGCCTCCCAAGCGGGGCTCGGGGGGGAAGTGTTGGCACCGTGCCCAGCTTGGGACACCCAGGCACGGGCTTACCTGACTCGGCAGAAGAAAGACTTCTCCTCCATGCAGTCTTGAGTAAACGCATCTGAAAGAAAGCCCCGAGTCACACATCCAATCCCATCCGATCTCATCCCATCGCACGACAGGACACACGGGCTGGCGCTCTTGGCTTCTCCCAAGCCACAGAGAGGCGGGAGAATCGTCAGGTGCGAATGCATGTTTACACAGGCACAAAGAGGAGCCCTCAGAGGCCATTTATCACACTTCCGACTGAAACGTGCTTCGTGAGTGTCGCACGTACCGGATCAGGAGGGGCTGCCGTCTGCCGTCAGAAGTTTACCATTTTTGAAACGGTTCCGAAGCTGACACAAACACGCCAACTAATAAGCCATTTAACTCGGGGAAACCGACTGACTGATGGGCCGAACGTGTGTGTGTAAGGCTCTAATACCTCCGCCTACATGTTTGGGGGGATATTCGGTTCTAATAGAAGGCCCTACCCAAGCTTACATCAATCCTTCTGCTAAAATATTAACCTTCTTCAAAATCTGAAATGCTGAGCAACACAAGGTCATTCAGACGGCGTCATCGGAGATGAGGGAATGGCGTTTCCATGATAAAGGAATTTTTTTTTTTTTTTTTTTTTTTTTTTTTTTTTTTTTTTTGGGACAGAGAGAGACAGAGCATGAACGGGGGAGGGGCAGAGAGAGAGGGAGACACAGAATCTGAAACAGGCTCCAGGCTCTGAGCCATCAGCCCAGAGCCTGACGCGGGGCTCGAACTCCCGGACCGCGAGATCGTGACCTGGCTGAAGTCGGACGCCTAACTGACTGCGCCACCCAGGCGCCCCGATAAAGGAATTTTTTAAGAAGAAATCTCAGACACTGATCTTTCACGTAAAGTTTCGTCTACTCGAAAGAAAGAGGAAAAGTAGGAAATCCCTAATGAGGGAAAACAGCACAGAGTTACGGCCTGGAAAGGCCTCGGAGAAGTCACCTGGTCCTTCTTTTTTATTCAGACAAAAATTCAGGGGCAACCATCCTAGGGAGACGGTGCCCGCCTGTTCACGCTGTGAACCACGTGCGGAGCGATGTCCCTTCCACGCAGTGACCTACGGGTCCTCGTGACACGCCCTGCAAGCTTTAGTGACCTGACTGCACAGTCCTCGGTGGGATTTCCGGGAGAAGGCAGGCGGCTCTATATCTGAAACCAAAAGTGAGTGTCTCCTTTCACGAGTCAACCCTACGGCCAACTCCCGGCTTGGCTTGTCTGCTGTAGGGAAGGTTCCGCCGCACAGCTGTGGTGGGTGGGGTGGCGGCCCGGCCGGCAGGAGGAGGAGGGAGCAGGTGGGGACAGGGGCCCGCGATGCAGGAGACGGTGTCAGTGGGGCTGAGGAGCACGTGATATGAGCACAGATGCTGACCCCCGAGCCAAGGGCGAAACAGGAGCCGGTTCTGGGCGATGCGGCCCCGGGGCAGGCTCCAGCCAAGATCATGACTGAGGTCACGCCTATCTGGGATGACCCCCACAGTCACACTGAGTCCCACCGTGTCCTGTCCCTCCCGGTTCCTTAGTGTTTCTGCCCTTCGGTTCGACTTCAGCTCCGAGAGACCAGAGCCCCACAGGGGACAGGTAGACAGATGGTGGAGGCCTTACACGGCCAAAGGGGGGCTTCTGCTGGCCTCCCTGGCCCCTGGAAGTGTGGAGAGGCTTCAGGGAAGGCCTGAGCTGGCTGGGCCCCTCCCCTGTCTGGCACTTTCTGCCAGGACCCCGTGCCACGTCTCTGCTGAGACTCGTCTCGCCACCGTGCAGACTGGAGCCTGGCCAGCCTGGAGAGCTCGCGGTTTGAGCCCAGGAGGACGTCGCAGGCCGCCAGCATGAAGCCGCCCCTGGCCGAGGGGAGGCGCGCCCGCCGTCAGTGCGACATCACTGCGGCTGACCGCCATGGCGCCCGCAGGACACAGGGCCCGGTCTCTGCACTCTGCGGGTTCACGCCAAGACCCCAGCTTCTCAGAACGACTTCGTTTCTAAAATGCCTAATGTTTCTTAGAGTCTTCTCACTCAAACGGCTTTCCCTCCCTGAAATTCATGAAAAGACTACTTTTCTAAGTTTATCCTGAGCGAGCAGCTTTCCGTCTTTGGCCTCGACAGCTGTCGGGCAGGGGCGCGCTGCCGGTTTCTGGCAGAGGTGAGATGTGGCACATGCCCCAGAGCCCCACGACCCCCGTGCCGCTGGCACACAAGGCCAGGTGGCCACCGCTCAGCCACCGCCCGGGCCCTCACCTGCTCCGCTGCAGACGCCCCAGAGCGGGAGCTTGTAAGGCGTGGTGGACGCGTGGAACACGCTGACGTCGTGGGGCGCCAGGAACTCCACGAACCTGGCGCCGGGGAAGACGTCCCTTTTACAGTGAAAGATGGAGGCAACTTGGTCGGAGACGTACAGGATTTTCCCGGTGACCAGGGACACCGCTGCAGCAAACATGCCCTGGAAGGAAGAAGGGGCTCAGTGGGGACAGCAGATGGGGTCCGGATGGGCCGTCCCTCCCCGGGGCCACAGACTGGGGGCTCAGGGGAGGCGTCTGGTCCCCCTCCTCAGCCCTGGCCAGAACTCTCCTTGCCTCTACCCCTCTCCCTCTCCCCTGCCAGCCCATCTCTCTCCCGGGGAGCCCCAGAGGCTCCTGCCCTGGGCTCCCTCCCCGCTGGCTAGCCTGAGCCCTGGCCCGGGGAGCTCTGGGGGGGGG